CGCGTTCGTATATGTATTACTCACTTTTTATATAACTCCTAAAGAAAGAAAATTAATTAAATGTATTTTCTGAGTATTGTTTTAAGCTATTGAAAATGTGGCAGCTAAAGTTGTATTAATGAACATTAAAATTGGGGGAAATAGTTAATAAGATAGGATCCCCAAAACGATTTGGGCGTAAAAGTGGAGGGTAGATTTGGTACCTTTTATTTCCACGTGACAGCATCCCACCATAGGTTTAGGGATTTCAATTTCTGTTACTTGCTTTTAAATCTAAATTTTATGAAAAAGTATTGAAAAATTCATGAAAAATGCCATATCTCAGAAACAAAAAAATTATCAGCAGTAAAAGTCAGAGGCCAGATTTTTACCCTGACAGTACCCTGAAAGAACACCACAATTAGGGTTGAGAATTTCAAGATCGCTTAAGATTTCATTCAAGTTTTATAAAGAAAAAAAATGAAAAAATTATAAGAAATTCCACATCTCGAAAACTAAAAGTATTTGAGCATTTAAATTTAGAGGGCAGATTTGCAACACCGATGTGTCACTAACAGTACCCCGTCTTAGGGTTGAGAACTTGAAGCTCTGTTAGTTTTTTATTTAACCAAATATTAACCAAAAAAAATATTACAATCCAGTGAAAAAAATATCGTATTAACTTAACTTCCCTTAAGCTATCTTTGAAAATTGAAAAAAAAAAAACCTCAGGACAGGAAAACAAAATGTTTCTAATTGCTTTCGTTAAAAAACCAAATAACTAACCAATAAAAAACCTTTGCCCATTTTTTGTTTCCAACCGAATCAAAAAATCTGCCGGGAAATCAGTATTACCGAAGACCCTTACACTACTTTCAAGGTACTCGACTGTCAATAAAGCGCATAAAAACATCGAGTAGAAAAATTTAATTTATTAAGTTTCGAAAATCTAACGAGTTTCAGACCACTCCAAAGTAAAAACGTTATAAATCTGTTTTCTCAAACGACGTATCATAGGGCAACTTAACCGATAAAAAATATATAAGCCTGAACCATTTAGGACCAAAAAGTCCAAAAAGCTTTGAAACAAAAAAGAACGACTAAAAGGAACCGATTCAAATTATAAGTTAAGCTAAAAATTATTGAAAAAAACAAGATGAAGTTCGATCATAGTACAAGTTGCTTTCATCATAGAGAAAGTTTACGCTTTTGAATTGAAGTGAAAACAAGCAGACAAGCAAAAGTCCGTTAATTGAGTTTTTCCGACTTTTTTTGAAAAAATTCTTCCGGCCAGATCTGGACATTTGTGCCTAAGCATGGACGTTACCTCTAAGCTAAGTAGAAAGAAACTGTCATTGTATTTCAATTTATTATACAGCACGTGAAATATCACATGCTGTTTCTAAATTGAAAAAAGCCTAAATGGTTGAGCTGGTGCGCTTCCCTCAGCAGATTAACTTAATTGAAACCAAGAACTCAGATTTGGGAGAAAAACTTTTCAGAAACACTAAATTTCCAAAAAACGGTCAAAAAATCAGACTTTTACCAGGGCAAAAACTTTAACTTTTTGTATAAAAAAATTGATCTAGCCAAGTATGCTATGCAGGAAACTGCCCCACAAGCTTTTCTTTGGATTGGACCAAAAAACTCAAATTTGGGTGTGTAGTTTTCGAGATAAGTCAAAAACAACCAAAAACGGTTTAAAAATCAAGTAATTGTTTTTTTCTGAGGATCCTAACATTTGAGTAAAAAAAACTGAGCCTTGCTGATCATGCAGGGGCGCTTTCTAAAATCAGTTGCTTCGATAGAACCCAAAACCTCACCTCGTTTTTGAATTTATTGTGAAGCAAGCAATATTAAGAAAAAATTTTAAAAAATTAATACATTCGGCAATTAAGCCGACAAAAGTATGGACGAATCCGTGAAGCCAAAAAATGAATAAATTCAATAATACAGATAATTTTGCTTGTATAATTAGGACAATTAACTATATCACTGAAGATTTGAAGAAACGAAAAAAAATTAAGGATCAAACGCTGGAATACCAGCAAAAACTCAGGTAAGACTTGGGTAGACGACCGTTGAGCCGAAAAAAAATACCAGAAAAATCAAATTTTAAGTTTCGAAAATTCAAGAGTTTCAGACCACTCCAAAGTAAAAACATAGCCAACCATCAGCTGGAAAAGAGTATTGAACACAAAGAAACTGAAAAAATCTACCTGTTTTTTCAACAGCCTTCAACTTTTGAGTTTTGAAAACAATAGATGGCCTTAAATCTCTTTGAATTTGTAGAACAATTTATGATGGTTATGATTATATTTTTTGTTTTAATTAACCCAATTCGAGAAAACTGGATCAATACGTTAAAATTTTAATTTCGCTGAGAAATCTGATAATTAATTTCTATTTTCAAAATCAGAAGTCGATCACGTTTTTCGTGACCTTTACACTTTTGCTGTTCGATAGTGGAGTTTGTTTTCCTTTTAACAAAAAAAATGCACTGAAATTAGTACGAAATCACAAGTCAAACCGTAAACACAAATCAAACCGCAAAAATCAAAACAAAGTTCCAGACTTTTTCCTGAACAAAAAAAATCAGAAAGACCTATATAAGAGTACTCACAACGTTCATTACTCTTGAACGGAACGAAATCTATTTTCACTCTTAAAACAACGTATCATAGGGCAACAAAACCGATAATAAAAAAGCCTTAACCATTTAAGACCCAAAAGCCCTACGAACTTTAAAGCAAAAAAGAAAGATTAAGAAACTGATACAAATCATATACGGTAAATTAAAAATTATTTTAAAATTGATCATAGAAAAACTTGCTTTATTCATAGGGAAAGTTCACGCTTTGGAATTTCAGTAAAAATAAGCTGACAAGCAATAGTCCGCTAATTAGGCTTTTCCATTCCTTTGAAAAAAATCTTCCGGTCAGTAATCGACATTTGAGGTCCCACACATGGGCGTTACCTCTAAGCTAACTATACAGAAAAATTCATTGGTTTTCAAATTATTATACAGCACGTGCAATATCACGTGCGGTTTTTAAATTAATTTAAAATAAAACAAATTTTGAAAAAAAAATACGACGACAGGCCATTAAGAAGACTTTAAGACGAGTAAGCGTTATGACATATAAAATGAGCTGTTCGAATTCAAGCGGTTTAAATTTCTAGAAATACAAATTGGAGAACTGCGTGCGTGTAGCGTCGTCTTAGAGTCTCATCAAAAACCGTTGTCTTCTTAACGGCTGTCGGCTTATTTTCCGGTCACCAGAGTAAGTGTATCAATTTGTAAGTCACTCAGATCGTTGTTTGCATAACGCATAAAACTTTTCACTAAGCTAAATGAATGACTTGTCTTTTACCATTCGTTAGAAGCCGTTGACAACTACTGTCATACTAGATCAATTAATACTTTCATTAGTCGGCGACAATCTCCATAAAATAGTACATGAGAAATTTCTATTATATTCATCAGACAACTTGAACGTCTAAGAACAGCTATTTTAAACATAACTACATAGGGACTTTTTAAACTTATGTCACATGAAACGCCAATTTAAAAAAAAGATAGATAGATAGATGAGCGTTAAAACAATTTCTCCGTGAAATCTTTTTTCGTAGAGTGAAAAAAAAGCGGTAGTGATTTATCGGTCACTACACAACGTGTCTTAGGCTGCTAGCTATGAGTGCAAATTTTCAAGAAAATCGACCTCGTAGTTGTCGAGATATTCCAGTTGGGGTCCTTTTTTTTGGGACACCATGTATAATTAAATGCAAAATCAAATGCAAACACTTTTTGTTTTTCTTGACTAAAAAAAAGAAATCTCTTCACCCCCAAAACATGTCCACAAGAAACAATGCAAAAAAAATTACTACAAAATCCCTAAGCCCAATAAAATCAGATTATAACTTTTCTCCATGTCACATCTCAATAATCAGCGTCACCGTGGCAACCGTGTACCGATCGTTCAGCTGAACAATATTTTACGATGAAGAGTGAAAATGAGTCTTTCAGCAGATCGACGTAGTGAACTGATGCATGATTGATCGACGGACTCAAACAAATATCAGTCTTGGATCAAGCTTCCCCAAATAAGACAATTATCTCACGATTTGTCAACTAACTTATCAACTTCAAAAACACAATAGTCTAAATTAGCAGCAAAACAAAGATTGATCAGCTAAAAAACCGGTCTGCTAAAATCCCTAGCACCGTGGAAACCCTTTATATCAGATCTTGCAGAAGAAATAATTCAATTTTTCCTATTATCTCTCCGTAACTTATTTTATTCGTTAACCAAAAATTGCACCGTTTTTTCATACCACTCTGCCGTTATGCATTTCAGGCAAAACTTTCGGCAAAAACCATCTATCGGCTTCAAAAAGACTTGCTTGAAAATATCCGAGCTGAAGATCTATTACGTTCAAACTATTATCTTACCGAGAATGGAATATGAGATACCATGAATATCCCCCGCGTTTTAATTAGCCTGAAAACACTTGAAACGCCTATTTTGTTTTTATTTACGATTCTTTCAGGTGTAATTTAGTCTATTTCAAAAAAACTCTTGCCGGTTAGAGTTAGAAACACTTGTCCTAAGAGTTTAGCTAATAGACAAGCGAAAAAACAAACATAGCCAACAGACAGTTAGAAAAGAGTCAATGAACGCAAGGAAACAGAAAAAAAATATATATAAGAAAGTGACTTAATTTTTGGGAAAACTGGATCAGCAGGTAATTTTTTTATTCCGCTGAGAAAGAAAATTCACTTTTAAACTAGAAATCGATCAAGTTTTTCGCTTGATGTTCGATATTGGAATTCGGTTTCATTTTAACAAATTAAATGAACTGAGGTTTTATAGAAATCAAATTTGACAAATCAAATTTGAACGTCAACTTATTTTGATTTTTTTCCTGTACTATAATTTACACAAAGATAATTTTGGCAATAATTTTTAAGAATTAAGTTAATGACTTAGCTTTGGAAGAACAAGCGCATGAAAAACACATTTGCACAAAAATAAACTCAACTGGTAAAACTATGCACACTTTTACAATATATACAAATGAATCTATTAAATCTGATTTTTAAGTAACGATTCTAACATGACAGAAACTTATCAACAAAATAGTTTTTGCACGCGTTTTAAACTGAAGTTTTGCTATTCAAACATCCTTTCAACGCACTCCGATAAAATAAATTAACTTGAGGATGTATTCTGGAAATCTGAAATTGCCGAATGGAGTCGGTTGAATTTAGCATCCATGGACTTTTTGTACTTTTCGTGTTCTCTTAACATTTCTCTCATCTCCCCTTCGACCTCTTCGAGTCTCTGATCACAACTCGACACTAATTCCATCCTCTCACTTTCAAACTTACCTCTCGTTTCTCGTAACTCGGTTTCTAATCTGAACTCGGTTTCCTTCAGTTTCTCGACTGCTGAAGTCGCTGCCGACAACGCTTTGTCTCGTTCGTTCATCAACTCCGACTCTCGCTTATCCCAGCCAGATTTTTTCTCTTTAACTTGAACTTCTAACTGACCAATCAGAGCACTTTTCTGCTTCCATTTTTTCATTAACTCTTCATATGCAAAACTCTTTTCTTCCAACTCGGCTCTTAAACTTTCAATGTCTTCTTTTAGTGCATGTTTTCGTTCTGTGCTCAGTGAAATTTCGTCTTGCAGGTCTTGTCTTAGCTTTGTTTCTTCTGCCAACTGAGCTTCTAGCTCCCTTCGTTCCTTCAAAACTTCGTCACGTGTCTTTACAATAGTGTTGTCTCTTTCTATAACAGCTTCTTTCAACTTCTTTATTGTATCAGTTTGATCTTCTATAACTTTCGTTTTTATTTTTAGACTATCCCTTTCGCTTTCCATTGATTTTCTTTCCGCTGCTAATTCCTTCGCCAGACTTTCAATTCTGACCTCTAATCGACCTCTATCTGCGGCCAATGAAGTTCCTTGTTTGGCTAATTCCTCCTCCCACAATTTCCTTTCTTTTCTCAGCCCCTCAATGATCGAGTCTTGAGCTTGAATATGCGCGGCTAGTTTCGTTTTGTCATTTCGAAGAAGCTCCAGTTCTTTGATCTTTTCGCGAAAACTTTCAATTTGTTCGTCGTAAGTCTTAGTTTTACTTTTCAATTCATTTTGAAAATCTTGTTTCATTTTCTGAAGTTCGATTAGCCGTCCTTTTTGCTCTTTCACAACATTCGTTAACTCTTGTACCATTTTCGTTGACTTTTCGTTCTTATCTTTCGCATTCTGATTCACATTTTGAGACTCTTTAAATTTATTTTCAGTTTCTGTTAACTTCTCGGCAATTTCGTTGTACCTGGCTTCTTCAGAATACAGAGCCATGCGAAATTCATCCTCTAATTCTTGGTATTGGTCGTACGATTCTTTTAGCTTTTTGTTCAGACATTCGACCTCTTTTTCTTTTAACCGCTCAAAATCCTTAACTTTAGCAGCAACTAACTCTTTAACCTCAACACTATCCAAAGAATACCTCGACTTCAGTAATAGTTGTTTGTCTTCTAGTTCAGCTTCCAAGGCTTTCACCTTGCTGATCTGAGTTTTACTGAAATCCTGAAGCTTTTCAAACTCTCTAGCAAGTGTTCGAAGTTGCTTCGAAGCTTCTTGATCGCGCTTGGAGTCTTTCGCATTAGCTATCAGTAAATTATTTTCTAACTCAACAATGCGTGCATTTTTATCCGATATTTCCTTTTCCAACGCTTTCTTTCCGTTTTCAAACTCGTTCAAAAGATTTTTGTTGGCACCATCTGAAGATTTTCCATCTTCAATAGACTTTCGCAACACTTCATTTTTAGATTGCTCATCTTTCACTGCACGTTTAAGGTCATTGATAGTTTGGTTCAAAGCAGTCTCGCGCAATTTAAGTTCGTTCAATTGGCTTTTGAGATTAACTACGTTCGTTTTCAGCTCCGTTACCGTTTCTTCTGCCTTCCATCTTTTGTTTTTCTCAGACTCGACTTCTTTGACTAGAGAAGTAATGGTCGGCTGGTCTGTTCTCTTGCTTCCGCCACTAACAGGATTCGTCTTCTTCTTACCAACTGATTCTTGCAATTTTTTGGGCGCACTAAGCGTGAAGGGTTGTTTGCCGCTCGATTCGCTAGTTATTTGCTCAGTTGAGCTAGAAATTTCCGCTATTTGCTGTTTGGAAGCCTGTCTCAGCTCGCTTGAATACTGTTTTTGCATACTTGCCTGTTGCTCTAGCAGAAGAGTTATCTGTCTTTCTAAGTTGTCAATTCTTCCTTGCTCAGGCGTCGATTTGTGTTCTTGTTCCTGTGCGTGAATATTTTCATTCACCAATTGCTGCTGCAAATTTGAGTAGTTAGTCATATTTTGAAGGATCTGCGGTCCGGCTCTTTCAGAAAACTTGTGCGCTGTCGAATCATCAGAAGTGGGATAGTTCTCAGAAGTAAGAAACTCTAAGAAATCCTCGACGCCCGGGGGTGCGACATCTTCGATTTCTATATTTAGCCCAAATTTATCGACATAATCTAGAGAGGTGATTTGCGTAATATTTTCCCAAATTATTGATGGGTAGGATCTGTGATTGCAAATAGGGTTTTTTGATTTTCCTTCAGACAAAACCAAATGCCTAAGTTTCTTCGTTCCTTGCAAACATCTAACAACCTGATCTGTATCCGACAACAAGTTTCCATGAAGGAACAGTATTTGTAAATTTACCAGAGATTTTAGACCGGAAATGTCTTTTATGGAGTTGAACGACAAATCTAACCTCATTAAAAGAGGATTTCGCATAACTGGGATAGATTCTAATTTGTTATTGGACAGATTTAGAGTTCGCAGACTTTTCAGATTATTCATTCCATCTATGACTGATATCTGATTGGATGATAGATCAAGGTGTCTGAGACAAGAATAGCGATCTAAGTTGCTGATTTGCTTTATTTTATTTCCATGAAATGTCAAAGAAACAATATCTTTGTCCACTTCAAAGTCATGCAAGGACCTCATTCCGCAGTCGATAAAACTAAGGTCACGTGTGAAAAAATCGTGTTGCACGTCACCCATTTCTCCTGAAATTTTAATATGAAAATAGAAGTTCATCATAAAGCTCTATACAAAAATTTGTTGGCGTTTCTTCTTTAAAGATCTCGCAATGTGAACATTCTTTAAAAAAGAAACTCAATTAATATTTCACATATTTACATTTGCATTATGAAATTCGATACTTGTTAATTTTACAAAACTTTACAATTTACAAGTTGCTAGAAATTCTTCGATCGCATTTCTATGACTATAATACAACTGATTTAACATCTACAGCTTCTTCCTCATCTGAGTATGCATTGGGACTGTTGGAAACACTTGGTTCTGGAAAACAAACGTTTTCAGTCGGTCGAACGCAAACAGGAATATGACGAAGATCGACAGGTACTGGATCCAGGCGAACTTTATCTCTTCCAGGAACCCTGGCTCGTATCTCAATGTCTGTTCTGGGTATCTCACTCGTAACTCTAGGACAAAAGTGTTGTCTGCCGACGCTCCCATTTGCCATCTACGGAAACTATGCACTAACTCGGTAGTAAGATTCCTCGCGTTGTAGCTCTGGACATAAGCATTCAGGTCGAAGCTCGAGGATTGATCTATTATCAACTCGTTGGCGAAATCGGTATTGTCACCTTTGTGCGGCAAGTTGATTTTCTGGAAGAAGTTGAGGTCTCCTGTTACAGCGAGTTTGCTAGCTCCAGAATCCGATTGTTCTTGTATGAGCGCCAACCCTAGAGCTCTCACTCGGCTGAAAAGCCGCAACTCGTAGTCAAAGAATAGGTAAGCGTTCACCGAGTTCACTGTCTCTCCGCTGTTCAGCGTGAAGGTACTACTAAAATCCATGTAGTCGTTCTTCCCGTTAAAGTCATTATCAACTTCAATGGACTGAATTAGAGGCGTGTTGAGAACACCTTCCATACTTAAAAATTGATTCAGATTGGGATAAGTAGTCCAAACTAGAGTACGAGATCCTGTATCTACATACACTATTGCTTCGTGTCTATAGTAAACATAAGGCGATTCGGTGTAATACTTCTCTTTTATCCAAAAGCCAGAGGTTCGGTACGCAATTAGCAATGGCGCAACAATCAGCAAAATGAACAGAATCAACTGGAAAAATACCGCTTTGGTAACTAAACTTGTTCTGTACCGCTGCACCAGTGCGTGTGAGTAAACCTCGAATCGCATTCTTCAACCTAAAACGATTTTTCTCAAAACTCAAAAACAATATTCACACAGAGGCGAATGATTGGGTTATATCGCAATTCGAACAGAGAGAAAAACTTTCCATAGCGCATCCTCATAAAACCTCAGATTAGGTATCAGAAATGTGAAAATTGCTTACATATACAAAACAAACAACAAATGTGGGATGAATCAAAACTAGGGGAGCCAAAAATTTCGCATGTCTCGATGGAACACATCAAGGGTCATCGATGGAACACAACTTTTGGAATTTTCTCTAAAAAACTACCCTATCAAATCTTTCATTTTTTTCTGCAGAAGCGGCTACGTTTCTGTGGGAAATTCCAAAATCTCAAGATGCGGGACCAACTGTGTAATTTCAAAACTTGGACTTTCACCACAACCTATGTTGTTTCTCTACTAAAATGAAGTAACTAAAATGAAGCGGTTATAGTTTCTCTACTAAAATGAAGATTAGAGTGAAAAATTTTGAAATGTTCCTGAAATTATAACCGCTTTTTTCGATTGAAATTTTCATCTCAGATTTGAAGGTATAATTTTAAAGAAAATTCAAAGATATCTATAAAACGGTCAAAGTTCAAAAATATACTTTCCAAATTCCGTAACCATTTCTGCTAAAGGCAGGTCGTGGCCGGTAAAGTAGAGAAAAATCCCAAAATCGGTTTTCTCGATTGAACTCTAAATCTGAGAATCGGCACGGCAACTTTCACTGGTTTCAAACCCATAATTTTTTTTCTTAAAAGAAACTTGGCGTGGAAAATTGTAAAGGTGAGCTTCTAAAAACCTGTTGTGTCTATTAAACCTATGATATCAGACTTGGCAGGATAGTACTCGAGAAAAGTCTAAAAACGGTTAACCACTCAAAATAGCAACTGAACAAAGTTTACCAAGCGAAACACAAGGCCGATAATCTTTGAGCAGACACAATTTCAGACGAACAAAAATGATTTCGTTAAAAAATGTTTGAAAAACGAGTCCCTCTTGAAACTACCCAGTACTAACAAATACCCACCTAATAGTTAAAATTGAATTTTCATGAAATAACTAATTCGGTAACTCAAAGATATCTATAAAACGGTCAAAGTTCAAAAATATACTTTCCAAATTCCGTAACCATTTCTGCTAAAGGCAGGTCGTGGCCGGTAAAGTAGAGAAAAATCCCAAAATCGGTTTTCTCGATTGAACTCTAAATCTGAGAATCGGCACGGCAACTTTCACTGGTTTCAAACCCATAATTTTTTTTCTTAAAAGAAACTTGGCGTGGAAAATTGTAAAGGTGAGCTTCTAAAAACCTGTTGTGTCTATTAAACCTATGATATCAGACTTGGCAGGATAGTACTCGAGAAAAGTCTAAAAACGGTTAACCACTCAAAATAGCAACTGAACAAAGTTTACCAAGCGAAACACAAGGCCGATAATCTTTGAGCAGACACAATTTCAGACGAACAAAAATGATTTCGTTAAAAAATGTTTGAAAAACGAGTCCCTCTTGAAACTACCCAGTACTAACAAATACCCACCTAATAGTTAAAATTGAATTTTCATGAAATAACTAATTCGGTAACTTCAGCTATATTTAATTCCGTATTTTTTTTTCTGCTCAAAGCATGCCGTGGCCGGTAAAGTAGAGAAAATTCCCAATTTCCGGTTTCTCGATTGAACTGAAAATTGACACGGTAACTTTTCTCTAAAAGAAGCTGGGCGTAGAAAATTGTAAATGTAAGCCTCCAACAACTTATGTCAATTAAACCCATGATATCAGATTTGGCAGGATAGTTTTCGAGAAAAAGCCCAAAAAACTGTAACATTCGCCCGGAAGATACATATCGACGGAAAATAAAACTAAGTCCTAAGACGACTGGCGAACGTCTAAACAGAGCTTTAAATGCTTTTCACCGTCTCTACCAAGCCAGTACTTTTGGTGGTCTTTTCCAACATCGGGTCGACAAAAACGTTACTGCTTTCGGCTTCAGTCAAAACACTCAAATTAACTTAATTACATGCAGGAATAGTGAGCTCATGGCTGGGTCTCAGTATCCCCAGACCACGAGGTCACTCCTAAAAACAGGGTTACTACTATTTACTATATTACTATTGTTTTTGTTCAGTAGATAAAAATCATCATCTCCATCGAAGATGGATCAACCCCTTCCCCCAACTCCTAGCTTCTCATCCTTATCAAAATGAATCCAGTTGTTAATTAAACTCAAATCAGGACATGACAAGAAGCTAAAAGTTTATATAAAAGAATAAAAGTTCCAGTTCCGAAACCCTTCCGGATTCTTGAATCCACTGAATCAAGCTCGTTAATCTTGACTTCTTCGTAATCTGGAAGGCTATCTTCCACCCTTCACCGTTGTCTGCAACGGCCTTGCAACTATTGTAGCGATACAATAGTTGCAACTCGGAACGTCCTTCTGTTTTTCTCTGTTGTTCTTCTATCACAATCTTCGTTGTTTTCGTCAGTGCGACTATCGTTCTTCTGTTGCTTTTTTGCTTTTTCTGCCAAAATGGCCGTTTCTGACGTTTCTCAGAAATGTTACGTAATCACTTCGAAAATTTAAAAATTAGCAATTTCCGAATCCTTCAACCTTCACGTTTTGTTCAATCGATCAAATAACGTTCTTAATCCTTAAAAATCACTAATCCGGAAGGCTCGCTGCTAAAAATTCGAATTCTGCAGAGATTGCAATTTGGCACATTCTGGTCGAATGTCACAAACGGTCAAAAGTTCAAAAAATCAAACTTCCGAGGATCACAGACTTTTGTTTACAGAAATTGGGCGAAGCTGCTTGTGCAGAAGAGATTCAGTTAACCTGTAATTTCAGTTGAACACAAAAACCCGGTTCAGTAAGGTAGTTCATGCAAAAACCGAAAAATGTGTAGAACACTATTTTGAACAAAATAATTAGAAAAACAAAATCTTAAATTTAGCAGATTTGAATTCAAGAGCACCAAAAGTATCAAAGTAATTTCGTCAAAATTCTTGAAACTTAGAAAAAAGCTAAAAAAATTCAAAAACCTTGTTCGAACCCAGTAGACAAAGGAGTAAAACGAAACTGATTGCGGGTGTAAACAGGCACATAGAAAAAGGCAGCTTCTTATGGACTTTTTTTTGAAAACCTTAAGGACTTGTTAAAGAGATTTTGAGAAAAACATGAAAACTAATTTTTTGCAAAAACGATGAATGTTTCCAAAGCGTCATGACAAAAAAAACAGTCCCATACACTTTCAAAAAATCTGTTTTTTAATAAGACAGGAAATCTGATATATCAGCCAAGCGAAATTAAAAATGAAAAATGTAAACGGACGGGCATGAGGTACAACAGGTACGGGATGACTTCCTAATTGACAAGATAAGGCCTGATGAAGTGGGCAACGAGTTACTGAGTGTGGGCGAACTGGTGGCAGACGATGAATGGCAAATCATCAACGACAATGAACACTATCCAAAGGAAGACTACTCCACACCAGAACAAGAAACAGATCTGGAACAGAGCGAGATAGAGAGGAGGGAGAACACGAAACTGAGAATACTAGAGTGGATGCGTGGGGTCACGAGCGAAGAAGACGAAGGGCTAAGCATCAAGCAGGTCGACGTGTCAGCAGAACAACATGTAAAAACGGAAGATCCCCTCTTCGGTTGGACAGCAACCGACAAGCCGCTAGAAATACTCCCAGATAATTTAGACCCAGCATCATCGACGGGGACGTCGATAAAAATTTTTGTCCGGCGAGTGGGGTTAGGACTTACCCACACCAAAAATGTGACGATAGAGAAACTGAGGGAAGTAAGAGAGACCAACGGACTAGAATTGGGCGAGGAAGAAGCTGAACCTACCATAGGACGAAATTTCAAAACGAAATTTGAAATCCCCAATGAATACTCGGAGGACATCCTATAAACGGACAGCGACTTCATTCTGTAATCTGTATAACGGCGGACATGATCTTCAAATCGAGACTGGAGGCTGACTTCAAGAGAGAATACCAGAACGTGGAGTTTCTGTTCAGACAGAGACCGGGACTGGGAGGAATGGCTGCGCTTCCCCCATCAGTGGCACAGGTCCGGGCAAATACCTGTGCTTTCTAGTGACGAGGGTCAATGAAAGGAATACAATAGATCCTGAGCACGTGATGTTAGCACTAACGAGGCTGAGAGATTTCATGATTGAAAGATGGATAATGGAGGTCTTGATGCCAGTTTATGACCCAAACAGAGGCAAGTTGAGCCCAAGGGAGTTGTATGCCATCCTACACGTGGTCTTCGCAGAAACAGAGATAATGGTACACCTACACAAGAAGTACTACTTGAGTATCGCCTGAGCTACGGGTGGACAACGGAGGTCTCGAGTTGGGGGTACATGTGGATCTTGATCAAGCGTACATGGGGACTTCGGGGCAGGTAGATGGAATTTAATGTGATTGGCATGACAACTATAATTTAAAAAATGATGGTGCTAAAACATTAGATGAATCTGCATGCTCTTAAAAACTTCCAATTGAATTATTTTATTAAAACGGACTGAGGGATAAGGTTTTAACTACAATAATGGGGGCTTTCTAGGTTAGGAATATGACACCTTAGTCTAAAAAGTGGATTTTACTTTCAGATTGATTTGATCAAAACCAAAGTTGACGGCTAGAACACACTCATTAAAAAGAGAATAGAAAATTTTGAATAAAGTTCACGATCAGAAACATTCGGAAGAGATTTCTCAAGTACTCAAGTTGCTACGTAATTCACGAGTTGGTTGGTGCGCGAGATAATCTAGAAGTTGTAAAAAAAAATGGCGGATCGATTTTGGAAGTCCATGCCTGCGGCACTAAAGAGGCCGACGCTCGATGAGTTATACAAGCGTTTGAGGGACCGGGACTACACCCAAGTGGACGAGAGGATGGCAGTGATGTTGAATGCCATCCTGCAATTAGAGGAGCAAGGTGAGTGCAGGGAATCCGCGACCGAAGCTGTCTTGATGGTCGGCTACACAACGGAAGGTACATCCAATCAGGAACA